ATTTGCCCAGGACAGGCACAGTTTATGTTTGGCATCCTGGTATAATTAGTAATAGTACCTATTCATATTTATAAGTATCCAGGCTTGCATGATAAATCACATGGTTGCCTAGCATGGCCCACAGCAAATGGTCTCTGAGATGCCACTGTGAGCTGCTCATGGGTGAGCTCTAAAGGCCCGAGGGGTGCCATGAGATTAAGACCCGAAGAAAAGGTGACAGAAAGTTGACCACAGCTGAACACTGAATGTTACAATCACACAACATGCTAAAAACACAGTTAGAAATGTGGAAGAAACAGCTCACCAAATATCCACGTGCACCCTGACATTTCCCATTTCCCTGGCAGATATATGGGGCCGTGCAACTAGATTTGGCCAATACAGTGGTGAGTGGAAGTGAAGTGTCACTTCTGGGCCAAGACAGTGAAGGGCTGCTGTCCCTCCTGCACCTCTCTCTCTCTCTCTCTCTCTCTCTCTCTCTCTCTCTTTCCCTCCCCCTCTCTTCCCCCTGTGGTGACTTTGTGCGGTGATGGCAGCTTAACCCCGGAGGGAAGCCCTCGCCAAACTGCCTCTGACTTGTGTGAGAAGTAGAGCGCATTGTGCTAAGTGCTGAGCCTTTTGTTGCTGCTCAGCACAGCAGTATCCTGATCCCTGCAGAGGGGACGACACAGGCCCCTCTGTGAGGAGCAGTATATAAAACGACCTGCATGTTCCCTCTGAAGTCACAGGGATACAGGGGTCTTTCTTGGCTCTGCTCTAATCATGCTGCTTAAAACCCCATCTACCCTCCCAGTTACCAATTATCTTGCTTCATTTTTCTTCACAGTACGTATTGACATATTTATGTGTTATTATGTATCCCCCACTAGAATGTAAGTCCCATGAAGGCAGGGACTTGGGCCTTAAAACAGGGCCTGGCATATAGTAGGCACTTAATGTATAATTTTAAAAAATGAATTGTGGGCTGAGAATTCTGTATGTAATGATCTTCTCTGAGATGCAAGAAGGTAATAAAGGAATTAAATGCTTAAAATGAAGCAATGAAGGAGTGGAGACAAATCAAAGACATAAACTCTTTTCAAGGGGTCCTCAACCTATTTGTGAGACAAAATATAGAGGCATGAAACAAATAGGGAGCAAAACTCCAGCTACAAAACAGTTAATTAAGCACTAAGTGTACTAAAGGTGTGGCATGAAGGGGAAGAGGCCCGCACAGGCAGCTAACCATGGACAACTCTCTGGAGCAAACAGGTTCGGCACTGGACCCAGAGCAGTGGTTCTCAAACTTGTGTTTGCACAGGAATCACCTGGCGAGCTTTTAAAGCCCAGACTGCTGGGCCCCAACCCCAGAGTGTTTGGGTGAAGGACTGAGGACTTACAGTTCTCACAAGTTCCCAGGTGATGCTGAGGAGGCTGCAAGAAAGGGGAACCACAATGTGAGAACTGCTGCTCTGGAGCAGGGGTTGGCAAACCATGGTTCTGCAAGACCCATTGTTTTAAAAAATAAAGTTTTATTGGAACATAGCTTGTCCATTCCTTAATGCACTATCTATGTCTGCTTTCAAGCTAGTAACAGTGTAGTTGAGTAGTCTCAAGGCCATCTGGCCCACAAAGCCTAAAATATGTCCTATTTGATTCTCAACGGAAAACGTTGACTAACTCCTGGGAGGAAGCCGGACCCAGGGCTGGCAGAGAAAGCCACAGCACTTGAATCTTTTCAAGGAGGGTCCCGTGGCGGAGAGCTATCACCATGCAGCTGAAGCTTGGTGATGACTGCACGGTAAAGGACAGCACCCAAATGACATTTTGCCTCCCAAGCTCTGGGGACCAAGTGTGGAATAACTGCAGAAACAATACATTCAAATATCCGTGTGTCTGGCCAGGATGAGAAATGTGCGAAGGGCAGCCTACATGTCTGTGTGCATGTTTCCTTCCCTTCCGAACCAGTGAGCACATCTGCCCGCGTGCTGGCCTTCCCAGAAGCGGCACTGGCTCTGTAAGTCCGCCTTGGAGGGCAGGGGCCTGGTAAAGCGCTCAGCCTTCCCACCGCGCACACTTCTTCCCTCAGACAGAACTCTCAGTCAAGTAGTGAGCACCCTGTGCCCCGGTCTGTGGTCTACATGGGACGACACATACATGCAACCTGGAGCAAAACAAGACATAGTGTCTCGTTGTCGCTGAGCTCTGTGGAGCACCCCAAGTGCTTACAATTTCAGAGGGAGAAATTCCTGTGGATGAGAGCTGGTGCAGTGTTAGTCTTGGGGGTATTACCTCTGGGTCGCTGGTTTGATTTCATGAAAATGGTGAATTGGTTTTCAAATGCTAATTGGTGGATGGGCAGCATCAGAATCATCTGGATGAATATTTACATATGCCCATCATTCATAGAAAGTTTAAGTTTTAGCAGATTCCTGCTTTTAACCACACCTACCCCCATCCCACATGATTGTGGTGCACAGCACATCAATGCTGAAAATGGAATCTGGTGTTTATTTCCCATTGTTTTAGTGGGTCTAGGGGGTGCTAGTGCTGTCTCTGCAGGATCTGTCAATGCCCCTTAAATCCCCAAAGTGGCTTGTGTGCCACTGGGGCACTGCTTGGCTGTGGCTGAGATGCCGTGTCAGGCTCTCATGAGGATTCAAACTTTCTGATCTTATGAGCTGTTTCTCTGTCTCTCACTATGCGCTTGGTTTTCCCCTGAAGAGCAGTATTTTTCAAACTATGGGTTAGAACCTAGTCATGGGTTATTAAATCATTTGAGGAGGGTGCAACCAGCATTAAAGAAAATAGACTAGGAAAAAAATCAGTGTATGACATGTGTTAAGGATAAGTGTTAGCTGTGAAACTTGTTGTTGTGGGTGGGTTGTGCACAGTTGCTGTGTATTCCTTACTATGTGCCATGCCAAAAGATGTTGTAAGTCTCTGCGGCGCAACATCAAGCAACTGTGACCCTAATTTACTCAGGGCAGCTCCTGTCTCTTCTTGCAGAAGACTGATAGAGGAAGTCACCAGGGAGGGCAGACTGTCATACACCAGTATTTCAGGGAGGCCACCTGGAAACGAATAGAAAACCAATTTGTGGATGATCACATAGCCTGGGGAGACAAGTCAATCACAGGATGTTTTAGGAATGGCAGCTGACTCAGCCCAGTACACCTGTCATGTGGGGAAAGCGGAAGTTATCTGGAGCCCAACCTGACCAAATTTCAGTTTCCCTTTCCCTGAAATGGGGACAATCTCCCTACTATTACTGCTTGGAAAGACCAAATTAGGGAGAGGGGAAAGACCCTATTCAATAAGGATGACCCACAAGCTCAGGCTCAGCTGTGGCCGTTCCTGGGGTGTGGTAGGTGTATGCTGGCATTAGGGGGAAGCCCATGCTCAGAGTCAGCGAGGACATATGTGGGAGCACAGACCAGGAAAACCTATGTCAAGGGGCCTTTCTTCTTCTGACCTCTTGGCGGGCAGCTGCGGGGTCTGATCATTCATAATGCACTGGTTTCACTCAGTGACCTAGAACAGCTTAGCCAGACAGAGCCGACATGAAGAGGAGACCAGTTCGAAGAGCATGTATTGTGTGCAGCTTCAAGTGGTGGGAAATGATTTTTGCCACCTTGGGAGCGGCTCAGGGGGTGGGAGCAGTGGGGGGCCCAGAGGTGGTGGTAGTGTCCTGGGGCTGGTCATTTTGGACCAGCCCTGCTACCTTCTCTTCTCAGTGAGAAAGAAAAAGGCAGGAGGATGGGAGAAAAGAAAGCCTTAAAGAGTATCACTAAAGGGTCTGGGGTGAAAGGCTCCAGAAGACAGGAAAGCCTTGCCCTCTATTTGCAGTGTGCCTCTTACAACAAAGCCTCTTAAATTGTTGAGAGAGGTCCTGGCCACTTCTACCACTTCCATTTTTAAAGTTCTCACAGTATTATAGGATAAAAAAAATTGCCAAGAATGCAAGGATGGAATTTAAAAAAACCAACAAAGGCCTGTTTAAATTTGCATGGTGAACATCTTTAATCTGTCAGAGATCTCTGCAGCTGTCCCTGACTTCCTAGGTGACATCAGAAGTCTCACTGAAAAGGCAGGCCAAATCCTGTGCCCGTCTCCAGGATGGACTTTGCTAAGAGCAAGCTTTGGCTGCCTTCATTGCTCGGGGATGGGACAAGACTCATTCCATCTTTATCTGTTCTTTCTCAAGATGGTGGTCCTCAAAAGTTAGAGTGCAGAAGCCTCTCCCAGGCCTGTACCGAACGTTGATTCTTAGCCCCACCTGCAGTGATTTGGATTTAGCTGGCTTGTGGTGGAACCCAAGAACCTGCTGTTTGCGATGCATCTCATCACTCCCTACATGCTGAGATGGCATGGTCCACGCAGGACGACCACTCGTGGAGATGCAGTGGGAAGACTGGCCAGGGCCACTCCCTACATGCTGAGATGGCCATGCAGGAGGACCACTCGTGGAGATGCAGTGGGAAGACTGGCCAGGGAGAGGTGGTCTCCCCCACAAGCCCTGGGCCTCACCTACCCATCCTCCCAGCTGACCACCCAGAGTGCAGCACACTCCTGCCTGCCCCGTGCTCTGTGTCAGGGTAGGGCCTGGCCTGAGGTTGGACAGTTTTCACAAAGAGGCCTCAGACATCTGCTTCTCGCCAAACTCTGAGGCAGACCACAGGGATAGCGGCTAATCGGGACCTTAACATGCATTGTAGGTGCCTTTTCTAGAGTGAGAAAAAGAACAACAACAAAAATCCAAACGACAGAGGTAGGGGGAGAGAACTGTTAAATGTGTGGAAAACCCAAGATCATTAGAGCCATTGAGGGCTTCCTTTCAGGCAAAGACTTTGAGGTTTGCCCAGCATCTTGCTGGGTAAGTCTAGCTCTGGTTCTGGGTCACAAATTCCCCAACACTTTCCCAATTGCATAATCAAATTCCCCACCTCTTGCCCCTAACCCTCATGGAGCTATTCTGACATCATCTTTACTTCTTTTCTCACGGTAACCAACACATGACATAAGGTTGAACAAAGACATTTATTTATAAAACCAGTTCCCAGTGGAGGAGAGATTGTATCCGTAGAACGTAAGCCGGTGATCATTCAGAGTGCCACATGCAAGCATTCCCGAACCAAAGAGAGCACTGCGGCAGGCACCCGGGAGCTGCCCATCCTGCTAACAGAAAAGCAAGTGTCTTTTCCGCTCCAGAGCACGGATGTACCAAGATGTCCTGTGAGAAGGCAATGTGGTCTGACATCCACGATGAAGTGATCAGGGAATAACTGCAGATCCTTTTTTTTCCCTATTCTGTGTGGCCTGCTCACTTCCCAGATACCCGGCTAAGAGCTTAAGAGGTCCTCCACCCTCCAGCGGAAGGGGCAGTGTCATATCCCGGGCCTCCTCACATGCCCATCCTTATGCTCTGAATGATCTGGAAGATAGCTGAAAGAGGAAAACAAAACAGCTCAGACACCAGGCAACACACAGCTGGAAACCCAACCCACAGAGCCTGCTTCGGTGACCCTGGGCCCTTGACACGTTAGCGCACAGCTGATTAGATATTTCCTCACAAGGAGTTAAGTTAACAAAAGGTCAGTGAACTTCTCTAAAAAACAGCCTTGTTGCGTCTGCTGATGGATGCCTGGGGATTTATAGATAACCTGCTAATGCCTTCACCAGGAGTGAAGGGCAGAAGTCCCCAGGGGCTGAGAGATCTGGTCCCCTTTCCTAGAACATCTGCTCTGCTGGGGGCGGGGCTCCCTTTCCTACAGGTGCTGTACGCATTTAACAGGCTCGTGAGGCCACCTTTTCCAAATGGTTGTGCCCTGGAAAGCAAGCAGCCCTGAGCTGGGCAGAAAGGCCGGTGCTTAGAGCAGAGGCAGGAAGCCGAGCCCCTGGCTGCCACAGCTCTTGACGCAAGCAAATCTTTTGCGGTCCGGAACTTTCTGAACTGTGGCTCTCTCATCGAGAGCACCCCTGACCTTCTCAGGGCTCAGTCTTCACTACATGGGCCTCCTCGTGAGACACTGAGGGGTGCGGAGCCTGTAAACCCCACAGAGCGTTCCCAGGACCTGCACTTGTTTTGGTCAGAGCTGGTTACATAGCTGGGTGCAGCTATTGGGTTGAAAGGTGTCCCAGGAAAAGAAGGCCCAGCTGCTTTGTTAAACCCCGCTCAGTGGGCGACATTGGCTAATCCGATGAAGGCAATGATAGCAGCATCTACCTCACAGTGATGGGTTTTATTTTTGAAGGGACGCTGAGTATCATCTCATTTAATGTGTAAAACAGTAAACACTGAGCTCTCTGGGGTCTTGCCCCTTCTCTCCTTCCTAGTCATCCTGGGATACAGCCAGGAAGGCAGCTTCCTAAGTGACAGTAGTGACGCAGAACCCTCAGGAACAAGGCACTTGGCATTTCATCACCCAATGTTAGTGAGCACATGCCATCTGCCAGACACTGTGCTTTGGGGTCCACAGGTGAACAATGCAGACGGCCCGCCCTGGCAAGCTTTGCTGAACAGCTAGGTTTGAAGGGTAGAGCACTAATGTGTTTTATTCTAAAAAAAACCCAACTAACTCTGCACACATCATCACTACTTTCCTAAATCAGATATGTGCTATAAACCAAACATGATTTAATGTTAACTTTTCATTAATGCTCAGTGTGGCCACAATGTGAAACAGTCATCACGCAGACTGCTGTAATCCCGTTATGGAGAGTGCACTAAAGAGCTCTGGACGGCTGTATTCTGGGTTCTCATTTCTGCTTCTTAATGTTTTTTTGTCTCAGTTATTACTATCTGTGGAGTTACTGTACTAATCCGCAGTGGGCTTTCCTCTGGTGTGTTGCTGTGGACTAAGCTGAAAACAAAGACTGTTAGAATCATGTGTAGAATTAGAGCAAACCCGTCTGTGTGACCATGGCAGGAGCTCCTCTCTAGATACAGTAAGTGAGCTCATTCACAACTTGTGATATTTAATTCTGGTTGCACAAGCAGTGTTCTTTTTTTTTTTTTTCCAGGGGTGGAGGGGCTTGACAGAAGAAATTGCTAGATGCACAAGAAAGTACCTTACCAAACTATATAAGTTGGCAGAAATAGTTAATGTACTTGTCCTCCCCTCTCAAGGCTGACGAAGAATAAAAATTAAATAAGCATTTGGTATTCCAGCTCAAGAGGAGTGCTGGGAGGCAGCTGTATAGTCAACATTGGGGAAAAAATATTTACATCTACCATGCCTCAGGCTTGATAGCGAGGATGGGAAAACATCCCTAACCTTGACAAAGTTACTGTAGAGTGAAATGTCAGGGCCAGGTAGAACTGGGTGTGAATTCCAGTTCTTCACTGAATAACCGAGTGACCAGACAGATAATTTAACCTCTTCAAGCCCATTTCCTCTTCTGTAAAATGAGGACCATGGTACTTGGAGGATTGTTACAGAATTAAACAATTTGACATACACAGAGGCTCCTCATACATCCAGGATTTGATGTGTGGGAGGCATTGCTATTATAGCCACTATTACTATTGTTACAAAAATGATGCTGCTTCTCCATGTATGAGCATGAAGACCAGAGCTACAGAACTACCTGCCACTCTCCAGAGGTGTGAACTTTGGGAAATTACTAAACAGTTCTGAGCCCTGATTTCTGTATTTGTAAAGTCAATAGATAGTATGTGCCTCACAGGATTGCAAGGAATCTACAGAATGACATAAGTAAAAGATCTGTTCATAATAGATGCTCAAAAAGGTTCTTTCTCCCTTAATTTTATCTTTAGACAAGAAATCATTTCAGCAGGACTTACATAAACAAATAGGAGGCAGTCTGTGCCTTGAGTCCATCAGACCTCATTAGGTTAATTCATGACTTCAGAAGTGCTAGGTAGTGATAAAACCTCTCAATTCTTTTTAAGAAACTGCTGCAAATTTATCTAAAGAATCAGAAAAACTTGCTTGCCCTAGAGTAGTTGCAACACATATTAAAACAACCTACCTATTTCTGAGTCTGTTTTAAAAACTAAAGATTATTCCTAATCCTAATTGAGCCCATGTAAAAACCGATGGTCCTTAACGTGTTTATATGTGACCCTTTAAAACTGAACCCTCTTGGAGAAATTACTTTGAAGAGTCTATTTTAAGTTCATCATTTGCTTCCACATCTAAGGTAATGAAGAGATGGTTGTGTTCATTATTCCCTTTTCAGCTGTATCAATGTGTTTAAGAAGCCTTCAACATCCTCCACTAATTACATTAATTGTAATTCTGTGCGCCTGCCAATAATGACCCGCAGACTAACCCCGACCTTCCACATGCTGACTTTCCGGGCGGTGAACAGGAAGGGAGCCAACAGTGCTTTCAAAGTGGGAAAGGAAGTGGGGAGTCTAGACCCTGACAAGTTAATAACTTAGTGGGTGAACAAAGCTGAGAAAACAGCAGAGCGGGCTGCAGGAAAGGGGCTGTGGCAGGCAAGACAGCGGGGAGCAGAGATGCCAAGAAAGGGAGGGACAGCAGGCATTCCAGGTCAGAGGATGGTCACAGCGGTTCAGAGACATTCAGGCTAGAGCAGAATCTACAGAATCCAAGCCTCTACACTCTCCCACCTGTGTTTAGGATCCTGGTCACATCTTTCTTTTATTCCACCATCCCCTTTCAATGAAATCCTAAGGTTTTAACATGCAAGAACCACTCACACTAAAAAATCAAACAAACTAGAACAATCCTCCGGACTCCACATCTCTTCCCTAGTCACCATTGCTGAGCACTCCCTCCTTGAAACTCTTTCTTCCCTTGGCCTTTTTGACACTGTCTTCTCCTGGTTTCTAGTTTCCCCCTTCTCTTTGGCTCTATATGCTAAATGTATTTTATGGGGTCATCCTAACTCCACCTGACCAGTAAACAAGAATGCTGAGGTTCCGCAATGAGCATTCTGGCTTTCTCCTCTTCATTACATTCTTTCTCCCTGAATGAGCTCAGCCTGGCCCACAATTTCTTTTTTTTTTTTTTTTAAATATATTTTATTGATTTTTTACAGAGAGGAAGGGAGAGGGATAGAGAGTTAGAAACATCGACGAGAGAGAAACATCGATCAGCTGCCTCCTGCACATCTCCCACTGGGGATGTGCCCGCAACCCAGGTACATGCCCTTGCTGGCCCACAATTTCAGTTGCCACTTAGCTTTGGATGACTCATTCACCTGTGTGCTTTGCCAGCCCTGATGTTTCCTCTAACTCTAGACTAGAGCCACACCTTTTACCATCTAATTGATATCTATTCTTAGGTACTCAAAGGCACATCAAACTCAACAGGACCTTCTCATGATCTCTTCCCACTGTCAATTTTGGCATCATTTATCCTCCATCTCGCATATAAAACAAAATGCCAGAGTCATCCTTAACATCCCCAATTGATAACTAAGACCTGTGGACTTTACCTACGAAATTTGTGATTATGCATCCTTCCCTCCATCCCTCCAGAAACTTCCTTTGTCCAAGTGACCACCATATTTCTCCAGGTGCCTATGGTGACCTCCAGAACTGGTCTCTTCCTGCAACTCTTCAATCCTTTTTCCATTCTCTAGACTTATTTTTTAAATGAAAACAAACAGGATTATGCCACCCCTGTGTTTAAAAGCACAGCGTAAGCTTCCTATTGCCCAATCCTTGATGAGGCCTCCATGACCCGTGCATCCTGGCTCCTGTCAACCTATCTGGGCTCATCTTTTATCACTCTTCTCCTCTCTTGAATAATCCCTTATGCTTTCAAAAGCTCTCTGCTCTTACTACAGGGCTTTTACACATGCCATTCTTTCTATGGGAAATACTTTCCCCACCTCACCCTATTGCCTAGTGTTCCTTCATAATTCAAAAGTTGTATCTTCAGAGAAGCCTCATTTGATTATCTGGAGCATGAATTTTTCAAACTTGAGTGTGTATCCTGATCTCCTGAGGACATATGAAAACACAGATGCTGGGCCCCACCCCCAGAGTTTTTAATCCAGTAGATCTGGGGGTGGGAAATGAGAATGTGTTTTTCTAATTAGTTTCTAGGTGAGGCTAAGGCTGTCGGCCTAAGGACACACTTAGCCAGAGTAGACTAGCCTTTTGTATTACATGCTTTCACAGCCCTACATGCCTCTCTTTCACACACTTTCATGGCTAAAATTTTACATGTTTTAGCATAATTACTTGGTTGACTCCTCTTGCCTCCCCACCAGGCAGTAGCTATAGGAGAACAGGGATCTTGGATGATTTTGCTCATGATTTTACCCCGGAGCCTAGCTCAGCACTGGGCACATAGTAGCCCCTCAGTAAATATTTACTAAAGGAATGAAAGGTGAATAATTACAAAAGGTATGGAGAAAAATACACCTTAAAAACCTTAAATAGTCATTTTGCAAACCAAGCGTCAGCATCAAATAGATACTTTTACATTCAAATTCCTAAGAATCAGTCCTTGGATAGGAAGTTAAGTCATGACAGACCAATAACCTTTTAAGCCCTGGGACTGTATCATCTTACGCTGGGGACTGACCTACCCCAACTAATTGGGAGTGCCAGAAGGACACAGGACTGATAGAAGTGGATCTTCTAGGAAATTGTCAGAAAGCTAGACATCAGGAGGCTTCAGAAAGCCACTTTTATTGAAAATAAATACTTGACAAGAGAGATCAAGGACGTTTCTGACAAGAGACATTAAGGCAGGCCAGAGGAACATCCGTTAGGAGTATAAGATAACTCTAGAAATCACACAACTTGATCATTTTTTCATTAAAAAAATTGCTGTAAGAAAAGTATGAATCTTGAGAGAGACAAGTAGTAATGTTAGGAGACAAGACATTGCAAAGGTGGTCTGTTAAGTTCTCTAAAAGAATCAGGAAAAAGAAAGTCAAAAGCAAAGCACCATTTTCTGATAGCATTTCCTGGTGACTTCCCCAGAGATGGCGATGAGAGAAAAGAGAGAGAGATGCCAGGGACAGGTAAAGGCAGGAAGACATTGTTAAAAGGAGGGATATTATTAGCAAAGAAGGTGATGCCCTGTCTCCACACTGAAATAGCAGACAGAAACTCTCTTCTGAGAAGGAGACCACACACAAACCCAAATGCTCCACGGGCACAGGGCAGAGGGTGGCACACAACAACGGAGGCCACAAGTCACCTTGCGAGAGCCAATGGCTGATGAGATCTTTCCAGATTGTCCATCTCAGATCTTGAGGCAGGAGTTCCAGAGTAGATGCATGTCTTCCATCTTTCCTCTGTGGTGAAATAGAAGGGCTTCTCTGGGCTGCTCTGTTTCTCAAACATCGCACTTGCCGGTCTCTGGGGAGAGACTCCCTCTGGGTGTCACAGGTTCAGGAATGTTCTGGTAGTCTCCAGGAAAGGCCAGTGTTTATGTGGTTGACCTGCAAACATGGTGAATTCAAATATGTCCCTGAGCACGTGTCCAGGAAAAGATAAGGTGATGAGTGCCCGGTGGCTCAGTCCAAAAGCAGCCATGACTTGATATAGGCGTTATCCATCTGGGAGCAGACCCAGGATGGCTGCACAGCTGGAATCTCTGGACAGTGCATCTTGTCTGGCAGGGAAAGTAGAAGATGTCTCAACAGGGGTTCTTTTCAAGACACAATCATATGCTAAAGGCCTAAAGTTAGTGGAAACCTTCTGCTCCACAGTACTTTTGGGGACATGGTAAGAGAGAAGGAATGCAGGGTAACAGAAAGCAGTTGGGTTTGAAGTTTAGGTTTGGGTACTAGCTCTATCACTTTTTAACATGGGATGCTGGCTGATTTCTTCTGTGAGCCTCAGTGTTGGGAGTACCGCAGCTTCTTTGTAGGGATTGTGTGACTAGAAGGGAGAATGTATGTGTAGAGCCTGGCATAATAAGGACTCAAGCAATGGCAGCCAAAATAGTTATGTGAACAGATCCTGCTTGTCCCCATAGTCTAGATACAAAGAGTTATTTCTGGAAACAGAGAAGAGGCTCTAGCTGCTCCTGCAGAGGTGATACCACTGACCTCTGGTCGACAAGCCTTGCCCTCTACCTGGCCAGGCGGGAGCTGGGGCTCATGCAGCTTCCTCAGCATCACGGGGCTGTGCTCCGCCACTACAGGTGTTCTCGTCATCACAAAGCAAAGTCACCAGAAAGGTCAAAATGGTATCTTTCTTTCCTTGTAAGCATTCAGAATCTTGGTCAGAACTTTGCCCAGGAGGTCAAGAGCTGGGGAGACAGGGTGACTAAAGACCATCAACATAATGACAATAACAACAAACATTTATAAAACTATTATCTTGACTGGACAAGCATTAACCCTCAGGATTCGTTTTCATGAGGATCTGAGGAGTCAGGAACCAGTCCTAAGCCTTTTAAGAATGGGAGAACTGAGGCTTAGTGTGGGCATCAGTAACCTGGACAATGCCACACAGCTAGCAGGCAGCAAACCCAGGTTTCAAACCCAGGGAAGTTGGCCCTGGAGCTGGCACACACATGATTTAGTCCTTTCCCTCCTCCACATCCTTAATAAAAACCTCCAGTCCTAGGAATGGTGGGTGCCAGTCCTTCCAGGAATGGAGAGGTCCTTAGTGCATCTGTAAAGAGAGCCAGGTGGATGACCTGAAACATGGGGCTGAGAGAATCGGAGCTCAGGCCCATCTAAGAACATCTCAGGGAATCACTTCTTCGTATCTCTTCTGAATAGGTTGTCCTAAAAAATCAGACCTATCTGTGACACTATCTCCCCCCACCCCGCCCCATCCCCGTGGGTAGAGTCCCTGGAGGATACAGGAGAAGAGTGCTGACAGTCTGTGAACTGACAGACAAAAGGAATGTCCCTGCCCAGAAACAGTGCAGCTACTTACAACTGATGATGCCAAATACACCTAGTGGGTTCTTGGCTGAAAGATACTAACTCTGTACAGCAGAGGCCAGCTCTGGGCCAGACACAATTTCCTATTTGATGGGCAAAGAGCGTCCAGCTGGATATTCCTTTCTGGGAATGAAAAAAAAATCAGAATATACAGCAACACAGGAGGTACTCCCATACACACACGCATAAACATGCAACACACAAACATGCAACATTCATACACAAACACACAACACACACGCACAAACATGTACACAAACATGCACACGTACACATACACACAGATCTCATTTCAACCAGAACAGCTTCTCTTTCATTTGTTTCCCTGTAAGATTTGAACAAAGAGTGCTGCTGCTTTAAAAAAGGAAAAGGCTACAAACCACAAGTCTAGATGATTTGTTCTTAAATCACACTTAATTTTTTCTAAATATGCAAGTAATATATGCTCACTGACAAAATGGGGAAATATAGAAACTTATGAATAAAATAACAGTCACTAGTTAATCCTGCTGCCCTAGAGGGTTCCCTCTGATGTGGGATAAAGGCTCCTCGGCCTCAAGAATACCCCGGCTTCAGTAACCACTGACATTCTCATGATCACTAACCAGGAAATGAACATCAAAACTGGCTAGAAAGAGAGAAGTATAATTGAAATTAGGAATACATGAGGGAGAAGCAGTCCGAGAAAGGGAAGTGGGGCTTGGCTGGTATGTAAGAGTTCCCATCAAAATCGAAGGATGATGGGAATTAAATGGTGACCCCATTAGTCCCAGTTGAGACCTCAATGAGGGGTAAGAACAGAGAAGAATACAACCATGTTGCCAAGAGTTCTAAGATTGTGGCTTCCTGTCAGCACATAGTATCAGAGCTTGGGAAAGGTAAATCATACTACAGGATCACAAGAAACATGTATATGATGACAAAATGACAAACCTGTTTGAACAACTAACATGTTAAGGAAAAGACCTAATTTCATCGAGTCCGGGAGGCATTCTCGTTAAAGAGAAGAATTGAAAATGCTGAAGATGGTTGTCCTGTGAACACTGTGGCACTTACATTATAAAAAGGTTAGACCAGGGACAGCAAAGATGAGCACGGGACCCTGCTGTTAATACCATGCTCATGACAGACAGTAGTAATCAATTGCAGCACACTTTCCCACAGAGCTTTGGTGTGGCCTCAGAATCTTTCTCAATAAGCTTTTAAAAGAGCTGAGGATAAAAGGGGAGAAAAACCCAGGGGCTAGGGCACTGAGCACAAACAGTGGGGACTGGCTTCATTAATGGCCTGGGGAGGTGCGTCAAGCCTGCAAGTGTCCTGTGAAGATAGTGGTGGGCAGATCTGTGTGACAGTGTCTTTGCTGTCTCAGACAGACATTCCAGGTCACGCTTGTCTGAGTCTCAAGATAAAGCAAGAACTCTTCAGAAGCTATTAAACAGTTCTCCAAAAGGGCAGGTTTTGAAACCAGGGACTGAGAGAGCTAGAATGAGCTGCTTATCTGGAGAGAGGCCCTCTTGCCTGCAGAAATGGAAGATAATGTTTTTATAAAAAGGGGTGTGTTTTAATGTGGATCTGGGTCCTAGGAGACCAAAACAAGATAAATGCAACCAGTTAAAAAGATTCCAGCAACACAAAGTCCCCGGACAAGACTTGAACAAGAAAATTTCCTGGCCTATTTGGAATAATCACTTGAGGGGGCCCATAACAGGTATTTGAGAAGCAGGTCTGAGATTGCTGACAGAATATATAATACCAATAACAATAAAGCTGGTTAGCAAAACAAAGCACGAAATGGCCCTGAAGGGACCTCTTTGGATAATATTGTGTCTCAAAAGAACACAGGGTTCCCAAAGCTTTTCTATCTCACAAAGAAAACTTTTCTAGCAAAACAGTGATGTATGTGGGTTGTGTTAAGGAAATGAAACTTACATTTCACTTCTGAGACTCAACTTAAAGTACAAGCCCCCATTCATTGATTTGCGTCTGCACGTGCGTGCCTCCTTTTCCTTGCGTGGGGAGGTGACAGATTTGGAGGCTTTATCAAGGGAAAACAGTCTCATGTACCCAGAGTGTTACCACTGAAATGGCTCACACCCATCCTTGGAGTTAAGAGGCAGGGCCTACTGCTTTCTGAAAGATCCAGAAAAATATGATGGCCGAGCCTGCCAATGGCAGGCTTAGTATGGGAGGAAGGGCGGTGAATGGAGCCTGAGCACCCCATGGCACAGCAGTCCCAGCCCCGGTGCCACTGGTTTCCATGAGGGGGAGAGGGTGGGGGCGGTAGAGGGGGTGGTGACTGAGGCTGCAGGTGTCAAGCTTGTTGGGCCGGCACTTACATCCCTGGAACCTTCAATGCCATGCCCACCTGTGGAGGGGCTCCTATACCCCTATTTGATTGAAAAGGAAATCAATACGGAGAGAGTAAATAACTTGTCCAAGGTTATTCAGCTGATAAATAGCAAATCTAGGCTCTGACTCCATATCTGGCAGATTCCAAAACTGTCCTCCCCTCTGAGGCACCAGTTGGTCAGATTTCAAAGAAACGTCTTGCCTCAGAGACCTTTTGCAATGGTCGAAAGTGGAAATTTACTTAATTCTGGAGAGGGATGGATTTAGATAAACCTCCTTCAACTGCCTCTTAACAGGGTAATGTACTAGAAATTACAACTGTGGACTCGGACTCCGATCTTGGCAGCCTGGGCACAGCTCCGGTGCTCTTATCTAAGTTCTTGGTGAGGTGGTGGGTGCTCCCTGGGTGCAGGTTTGGGCCAGGGGTCCCTGGGTGCCGTGCTCCTGTACCCTCACTGCTCTCCAGGTTTCTCTTCCTTCCATTTCATTATTTTGCTCTTATCACCACCATAGGCATGAAAGGCACGAAGGGAGGATGAGGAAGGTCATAAGAAAGAGAAGCCAGGGGTGAAAGTTTGCTGTGACACATCACTCCCTGTAATAAAGGGACCCTGTAACCTCCTGGAGGTTTGTTAACTTGTTTTTCCACATAAAGTGGAGTAAGGGTGACCAATAAGTGAGCATGTACTTAAATACCAACATTTTACCAGCCCAATTCCTTCCCGGAATATAGCTAGGAAAACAGATAAGATGCGCACTCCTATTCCTTGCCTGACCTGATTGTTTATTTAGCCTACTGACTCTACTTCTAAAAGGGGCACTTTGCCCAACCAAACATCAGTTAGAAATGTGGGTTAATGAAGAAGGTAATGAAAGCAAGAGTCTGTCAAGAGAATCAGATCAATGATCAGCATCTTCATTAATATTAGAAGATCTCATAGTTTTCCTGTCTGTATAAAAATATACAAAATGGGATTAACGAATGACTTGAGCTCACTGAGGGCAAATGACCTCATAGGTGTCACTGGGACTCAGTAAGATGGAGCTGTAGCCTGGCATACGGGCATGCCCTGTTCAGAGGAAAGAGACCTGAGGGACACAAAGGAGTGTGTGTCCGCAGAGGTGCAGACATCCTACCAGAAACTGCAGTGCGTTTTGTGTGAGTGTCACAGACAAGAGCAGAGTGAGGGTGTGCACAGCACAGATGGACGGTCAGATGTGAGGTGCAGGGGGTCTCTCCTACTTTGGATCACTGAACTGGGATAGAGGTGAGAGAGAGTAGCAATGAGGGGTTCAATCATCCTAGCACCAAGAAGGCTTATTACATAAAGCAGAGGAACTGATAAACTTGAGGAAATCACATTCTTTTGAATGTAGACAAAAGATAGGTGGGAGCCTATGGCCTGCAGCCCTAAAAAGGGAGAGACTCAAGAGGGACAGTGGCTCTGCCAAACGAACTGAATCGTGACTAATCCCCGAGGGGACACAGCTATAGGTGCCATTGTGTTTTTCATGACATGCATGGTTTAGAAAAGGACATGGACAAAGATAGAAGGAAGGGCACAGTACCAAGGACAAATTGAGGAGAGTGACACCTTTCTGTGAGAACAGTGCCCAACATGAGCTGAGGCTTGCAGAAAACAACAACAAAGCGAAAAGGGTGGTGGTATTAGATTATTCTCAGTTATGATTGAAAAAGGGACAAGGCCCATTACTTAGGGATTCCTGTAGCATGTAAACAGGATAGAGAAAGTAAGACCACCCAACTCCCATTTTATTTATTGCTCCTCATAAGTGCAAAGTGTCTTAACGAGGAAGTTGAGAGAAGCATCGCTACAAGAGCACTGGACGCAAGGCGGGGGGATCCGGCATGCCAACGAGGGCTGTATTTTCATTATGTCCAAGTCTCCAGGCCCTGCAGTCTCCCATCCAGGCCCCTGGACAATCCTGCAGCTGGGATAACAGAGCCTTTGTGCTTGATGCCTAAAACACTCCTGAAGACTGGTTCCAAAAGATTGTTGGGTACAGTACCTGCTATGTGAACCAATAAGCCTGGCAAAATTTTAATTAAAATGTAATTTTTTAAAATGTAATTTAGAGAAAGTTTTTTTAAGCCCTTTGAAAAGGATGACTATTGAGAACTAGCACAGGTTTGAGAAAAACAAGCCAGACCAAATAACTATTGTCTCCCTTCTACCCCCCTCCCCACTAAGGGCTCACAGATCCTCACAGCTGGGCTTTGCCATTCTTGAGCCACTATCTCCAGCCTCAGTGCCTTTGTCAGGCAGTGTTCCTTCATGTGGAATAACCTATCTTTGTCTGGCTGTTTGTCCTTCAAAACTCAGCTTAAACTGCACCTCCTCTGGGAAACCTTTCCTTCTGCCCAGCATGGTTTAGAAGTTCCTGCTATAATTGATTGTGTTCTCCCAAATTCACACGTTGAAATCCTCAATATGATGGCGGTAAAAGGTAAGGCCTTTGGGAGGTGATTAGGTCATGAGAGTGGATGGGACTAGTGCTTTTCAAAAAGAGGCCCCAGAGCTTCCCTATCTCCCTCTGCTACATAAGGATATGGTATGAAGATACAAGGAGAAACCTATGACCAGAAAGAGGGCTCTCCCCTGACCATGCTGGCCCTGAAATCTGATGTCCAGCTTCCAGAACTGTGAGCAGTACATTTCTGCAGTTTGTAAGCCTCCCTGGCTGTGGTATTTTGTTACAGCAGCCTGAAAGGACTAAGACAATCCCTTATGCGTGCTCACCAAGCACTCTGCTATCATAGTGCTCTTTCTGGGGTTACAATGGGCAGCTTTCTTATCTGCCCTCTCCAGTGCCTGTAGGTTCTGAAGGAGGTTGTAGTTTCAAAGCCCAGAACAGTGGCAGGCACATGGGGACCCTCAACACATGATGATTGCTTGCATGAGTTCTGCTGAGAGGTTCAAAGTCAACACAAAGGGAGTTGTCTCTAATTGTGTTCCATGGAATTCTCCAGGTCTAGATTTTTATCAGTGACTTGGAGAAATAATATACTTTCAGAGACTGTAAGGCTCAGAGAAAAAGATAATTAGATAAAAGGCTCAAGGTTCATGATTTAACAATCTACAGGCTGGCTATAAAACCTGAAAAGATAGACAGCTTTTTTATATGGATTGATTTTGTATTTGTCTGTGGCATGCTAAAGCACAGGTCGTGTTGTTGGTTGTTGGGTGAAAGTCAGAGACAGATAGTCTGAAATAATGCATCATAGGTGAATATGTGGGCATGATGACAATGCTGCATCGATGCCCCAGAGTCACTGCAATTTCATATAGTGCTCTGAACTGTGCATTGCTAATGACAATACATTGAATAGATCATGTAGTGTCACTGACCATATTGTACATTAAACTGTAATATCGGTAAGCCATTTATCATGCATGTGCTTCTGTGTTTCCAGACTTATAGTTACTCTGTAGAAGGACAACTGAAACAACACTAAACTTTTAATAGAAATATTCATGAAGCTTTAGGTCTTAAGAAAGTCAATTGGATATTTACAGTATGCGGAATATCTGGCTTTATTCATCCATCCATCCAACTGTATTGAACACTCATAATATACCAAATACTGTAGTAGAATCTACAAATTTAGTGGAAAAGGAACACTGCCTTCCCTGAGCTTATATCCTGGCAGAGGGAAATGGATAATAAGTAAGCAAACAAAATACTTCCAAATGCTGATGAGGGCTCTGAATAAAATAAAACAATGTATGATAGGAGAGGAGACAACTTTGGGTGGGATTAGGTAGCTGCCGCTTAAGCTTGCAGGAAGTTTATGTACAGAAGATCTGGGTGGGGCCTGGCTGGCCATTAGCTCGAAGTCAGTCTGGAACATGCTGTGACTATTCCAATATAAACTGCAAACTGGGTCAGATTAATGGAAGCAGAACATTGAGATAAGGGCAGTGACAATCCTACTCCCTCTGGAGCATTCACACCACTTCTGGACCAACTTCTACAGTTGCAAATGCTACTCATGGTGTCTAGCTAGAAACCACATCTTATGAGGACTGATTGAGAAAATTGGGAAAGTTTAGCTAGTAGAAGGAACCACTAGGCAGTCATCTTTGAAATATCCAAAGATTCAAGATGTTCAGAAGGGAATGAGTCCTGTTGTGTGACTCCAAGAGTCTACCTTGAATTATTGAGAAGATAGCACGTATAGTTCAAAAGAGGGGAAATAATATCTAAAAGAATTAGACCTATACAGAAATAGGACAGGCTTTTTGAAGAAGTGAGTACTCAACTCTCAGAAGTATTCCAGCAGAGGATGGGTAAACTCTGTTAAAGATGAGGAATCCCCATATTGGGCAAAAGATCACTTTCTAGGACACAGCTTTGGGACTGGGGTATAGTTTTGTTTCTTTGAGTGGAAGATTTTTTCATCTTGGGAAGTCAAATCAGCTTTAAAATATTTGAGCCTCAAGCAACAATCATGCCAAGTCCTTTGTATCCTTCCTTTCTCCTAAGAGCTTTTGTTTCCTTGGAAGAGTGGTTTCTTGAATATCAGAGGCACTGATCTATCTTTAGTCATGGGTGTCTCTTGCCATTGGGACAGAATGATGTCCTAGGCCTGGGTCTGTGCAGGAACATGTGGACTCCTGGCCTTCCCTGTCCTCAGCAACAGTGAGGTGATGGGGATGGGATGCTCAGATGGCCTGCTTACTGATGGAAGTAACCTGCACTCGCCAGTACTTCAGAAACCCAAGCCCTGGGGACCAGGATTTATGTCAAGACTCCCAATAGCAGAATTTACTAGAAACGACTGTATAATCCTTCTGCTCAAATCTCCTCTTCGTATGTGTGTGTTTGCATGTCAGTGCAAGGAAAGCTCTCTGAACTTGTCAACTTCCAGTATGAAGTGGCTGTACCTTGAGGCTCAGGTCAAAGGCTCACTTCTGTGTAGAGCACTGTAGAGTTCCTTTTCTCAGAAGGCCTCTCCCTGTCTCTGGAATGTGGATTTATCATGGTCAGACAGGTGCTCCACTTTCTGTTTTAAATGCTCTTATACTTTGTCTTCACAGAAAGGTTTGATTGAACTCTAAACTCTATATAGCTGATTTAATTGCTCAGCATAATCATTTTATGATTACAAATTGATAGCATATCAATTCTATCTCTACTCATATTTGGTCTGCTGGAACAGAAATTAAATCAAAACCCATTAAGATTAATACCTCAGGCAGAGGTTAACTTGAATCTTAGACTAATATATTTTTTGTCTATTTACCTTCTGAGTAAAACATGTGTTTTTGAAGGACAGAGGAAAACCTGGGATATAAGGGCAGTGAAGAACCCATACCTGAACCACAGACAACAAAAACAAACAGTGCCAACAGCCATGGTCCCACAGGATATTTCTCTTCTTGTGGCCTCTAAAAGAGAAGGGGAGAAAGTAAGATGAGGTTCATTAATTCGGGAAACATTTGTTGAGTGCTACTAGTCACTGTGCTAGGAGCTGGGGCTACCACTGTGAATAAGACAGACTCAGTCTCAATGACCAGTGGGCAGATACAGATGAATACGATCAATTGTAAAGGATCAAGATAGATTTAAAAACATTCATCAATAACCTTGCTTACATCCCTGTAACTCAATGAACTTGGTGGTCTTAAATATTCTGGGGACAGGGTATAAATTCATAAAACTAATACAGTGATTTTGGAGCCAAAGATGATATTACTAATAACTGCTTCCATTTGTTGAAAGCACTCTCTATGACAGAAACCTCCTATATCCACTATTTCCAGCACTCACAACCCCATACAACTCCATTCTGTAGTTGAGAACTGAAGCTCAAATTTGTGAAATTGGGCAAGAGCTGGAATTCAAATTTAGGTCTGCCTCATTACAGAACCTAGGTGTTTTCCACTGATAGCTTTGTTTTTAACTCCCACATCTGTGAATTCTAAGTACGGTCACAGAGCACAGCCATGTCCTCAAAACCTTCCATATGCCAAAAAATTTGGGAAGGCAGTGCAGTGGAAATCTTTGGAATCCCAGAAGCACCACAACAACTGTGAATGGATGTGAGGGAAGCAGCGTTTTGTAATAAAGTTCCTAAATCTTTGTGAAGCTTACACTTTGAAAATTTCTGCATTCTCTGGGAAGCAGAGGGGGACTCTTGTCCCCACACCAATCTAGCCCTGTGTACCTCCTGCTCTTCTCAAACCAAAAGCACAGACACAACAAGAATGTCCCTCTGCAACCCCTCTAGGTCTATTGGCAGGTAGGGCTTGGTCCGTACAAATAAAATAAAATATTCTGAGAGACATCTGATACACTGGTGAATTTCTCAAATAAAAAGGGAGAAGGTCGAATGAAAAAAGTAGTGTCTTTGGTTCCCAGCTCACCTGTTAACATTCTTAGAGGGCCTTCTCTCTTCTATCTCAATTGGGTTCACTTGTCATGAATACAGCCATATTCTTTTGCTTGGCATTTACCACAGTTTGTATCTGTGATAATGTATTTAATGTCTGGCTCTTCACTAGACTGTAGGCCCCACAAGGGCAGGCACTTTCTCTTTCATATATCAATGTATAGCAGTGCATAATACAGAACTTAAACATAGATGTTCAATAAATGTTAATTGAAGAATGAATAAGCACCCAAGCTTCATTAAACATGATTTCTTAGGTCAGATAGGGTAAAGATAGGGCCTAGGAAGGATATTGTCTTTTTATTATACTTCCTAATTGGCCTGAGGGTTATCCCTGCATTTCTCTTACTAGAAGAGTATGGATTAAAGTGGCAGTGGCAGGTAGATTCTGAAGGACTGAAACCATTCGCTTCTCTGTCATTGACAAGCTTGCATCTACCACTCTTTTTTAATATATGTATATATATTGATTTCAGAGAGGAAGGGAGAGGGAGAGAGAGATAGAAACATCAATGATGAGAGGGAATCATTGATCGGCTGTCTCCTGCATGCCCCCTATTGGGGATCGAGCCCGCAACCCAGGCATGTGCCTTGGCTGGAATCGAACCCAGGACCCTTCAGTCCACAGGCCGACCCTCTATCCACTGAGCCAAACCAGCTAGAGCGCATCTACCACTCTTGTGTGAGGGCAAATCACATGGCAAGGAAAGAAGTGGTTGCCCTTGACTAGAGAAGGACAAAGCCAGTCTTAAATAATTGTGTAAGATAACTTTAACCAGCATTTTTATCAGGTCATTCTTTGGCACTTAAGACCAGGTCAAGGTCAGATCAAGAAAATAGTAGAGATATTAAATAAAGTTACCCGAACAGAGTGTGGCTTTACCCCTCCCCACCCTCTTTTACCAACTTCCTAACAATTTGTCATAGTTGCCCAGAAACCAATTCTGTTGCTATCATCCTACTAATGTTATATAAAAATTCATTTTGCTCCATCTCCAGCAAAGCCAACAAGTGAATTCAGAAGCCTGTAAATGAATTATTGGTCGAGTCAGATACCAAATGAAGTCCTTTATTTTTCCTTTGCTGAAAAACACAAATTATTAACATGCAGAGCTTGGAGCAAAACCGTTTTGATGATATTTGCCAGTGAATCAATATTACTTGGGGACTTTCAGAGCTCAGGAATACCTGGGTGATCATAATACCAATATATTCTTTTTGAGAGCTTCAAGTTACTTTTTTTGTGTGTGGAAGTGGTGCCCAGCACAATCCCACTGGGAAAATTTACCTAACCCCGAATCCACTGCTGGGAAAAGCAAGAAAATAGTGGAATCCTGCAAATGACATGGTTCATTTCAAACAGAAGTTTGCCACTTCCCAAGGCTCCAAAATGTCAGTGGATGGCTTTCCCTGTGATAAGATAACAGCAGGGTAACTCAGAACTCTGGAATTTAAATTCTCTCTTCATTCTGAAGAAGTTACTACTGTATAATCATGAAATGATTATCCCATTTCTCTGTTTCTTGGCTTTATCTGCCATCTGGGAGAATAATTTTGATTCACTCCATAGCTATTAACTAATAACTAAATACTGAGGCATCTGCATATAATCAAAGGGCTTTATTTCTGAGTGATTAGTCGGAATTTTCAGTTAGAATCTGTTCATCTGTCCCCATTTATTGAATTTCATCTGAACAAGTTCTCCCTTGCAAGTTAATCTTTCAAAGTATAATGTTTGGCCTGTAATTAGGAAAATGAAATTTAGAAATTAAAGTATTGCTTTTTGTTGTTAATCCTCACCTGAGGATATTTTTCCATTGATTTTTTTAGAGGGGGAAAGACAGAGAGAAACATCGATCCGTCCCCTCCCACATGCACCCTGACCAGGGATCGAGCCTACAACTGAGGTACATGCCCTTGACTGGAATAGAGCCTGGGACCCTTCAGTCTGCAGATCTACACTCTATCCGCTGAGCCAAACCAGCTAGGGCTAAAGTGTTGTTTTTTAAAAGAGAATTTCATTTTTCTTTTTGGATGCTGATCCATTTATAATAAATTTAACCAAAAGCCATTCCAACCAAAGGAAAATAAACATACATTGTGGCTTGGTTTGGAAACCTTTCATTACAAATTTAGTGGGGCCATTTAAACACCCTCAGAAGTGCCCGGTGCTTTTGAAGGGCCTACTCCAAGGTATATGTGAACTATTAAACTGCACTCATACCATAGATTAAATATAATTTGAATGCAACTCTGAAAGTTGAGTTGAACTGCAGGTGACTATATTTTCTAGATATTTAAACATCTCTTTCTCCAATTTTTTCCATTTTCTTTTCTTATTTTGGAGCCAATAATTTTTGTTTCAGCTCCCAAATGTTTTCTAGTGGTCTTGAAAAGCTAGAAGTGGCAGGCACTGCGTTTTACCAAGTCTAACAGATAAAACAGCTCCACAAATTAGTTTCTGTTTTGTTGTTATTTTTATAGTCAGGTAAGTTGTCAACTTAGTTCAGTTTACAACTGAATCCTGGTTCATTAAAAAGAAACGCACAACTAGAGATTTTCAGTACATCAGCTAGTCTGTATGATATCCTAGAAAGAATGAATATCCTAGGGACATAAAATCCTGAATGCTTTAACATCAATTAAAAGTTGTTTGTCAATGTTAATTTGAACAGCAAGTTGTTTTTTTTTATGAGTAAAAATAAATAGGGGAAACATAGTGAAAAATGGTTCCAATTCAATGGCACATCGGCATTTTGCTGGTCAATCATAAATAAATGATCTAATTCCCAAGTGAAAGAATTTCAAGCACGACTTCAGCCTGGAGCTGTGCGTAAAGCCCCGTGTACAGCTCAGTTTAATCCTAAAGTTTCTCTGCCACAGTACTGCTTGGTTTGCAAGAATTCTGGGGTAATGACTGTAGATCCAGCTTTTTGCTCTGTTAATCAAAGCAGCATTATTTCTTTGGCTAAAAGGAATTGTCTCATCAAGTCTGCAGGCTTTTCCAGCCAAACCCCAAGCTTCAGTTGGACTTCCACTTAAGTGCCTGGAATAATAGATTCCAGGTGCCTTTGCTCATAGACTTGGAGACTCACACCGCCCAGCAACTCATTCGAGGCATGCCTCTGAATGTCCAAAATCATAGGCCTGGCATTTTCTGTGGGAGATAATTTGCATCGCTAGAAGAAACCCCATTGCATAAGGCACAGATTTTACTTAAAAGTCGTTATAAAGCTTTCATATACAGTTTTGGGGGCACAGAATGCCTGGTAATTAGTCTCTAAAGTGCTGGATCAGAATAAACCTGAATTCACAGGGTGAACCAGAGGAAAGTTGCGTTTAAACTTTAGCCCAGAGTGAGAGGCCTCACTGGAGAAAAGGCAAAATAGAGGAGGATGGAGGGTAATATGGTTTGAACCTCATTCCACTCTTCCAATTTAATAGGGAGACCATTACAAAGGGGCTGGAAAGAAAACCTTATCATGGGGTGTGTCTGTTGGGTATGGAGGGCAGGG